AAAGAGTGATTAAATATTATAAAGAGTTGCTCATTTGCACAGTAAAATAGTTATCTCTTCTCAGAAAAAGGAAAAAAAAATGTTTAAACAGACGGTAATCTATTCCTGCGATGAAAATCCCACACTACAAGGTGGGAGAAGAGTGTGGAGGAGGGACTATTGGTACTGTTCAATGGAAGTCAATCTGCCAGAATTTTTTCCCCCCCAAACATTACAAATTCTAATATTAAAAGACTGCTGCAGGTTTTGCTTTTACAGATTAAGGATCAGAAACAATTAAGATTACTTTCAAAAACCTGTTATCATCAAAAGACAAGGAAGGAAAAAGAAGCCATGTGCCATGCCAACTGTCTATTACATCAGCTTCTCCCTTCTGCATTGCCTCCCTCAAGACACGCCCATCACAGTATGAACCTTGCATATACAGCTAACACTACAGAAATCACAACTTCTGGTACACAGTTCTCACTTGTGTTACATTGAGGATCAGGCTGCTTTTTTATTCTGAAATTTAAAAGCTCAATCAGCAGGTTCATGTTATGATCCAGTGAAATCTCCCAGCACTTGTACTGAAGTGGCAAAGGAAAAGAAAAAGCTGCTAAGTCAAGCAATGTTTACTCAAGGGTCGTATAGTTCACTTAGTGTTAAACAACTGGGAGCTGGAACCACCAGTTAATATCAGACCTTGAGACTAAGAGGTTGCACAGATAGGAACACCTGATGGAGTTGAAACAGAGTAAATGCTGGTAAGAATTGTCTTTAGTAATAGAGCAGAGGGAAGAGAAAAAGAAGGGTGACTTGTCTGAGAAGATACAATGCATTAAGTAGTAGGTAAGGAGATAAGGAAGGCTGGGAAGATAATAAAAAGACGCACAAGACAGAAATCACAGCCTAGAACAAATTCTACTAGCAAACAAAGCTTTTGGCAGCCAACAGACAGGAAGGAGGAGAATTTCTGGTCTGTGTGCAGCAAACTGATGAAGAGCATTATCATTCTTTTTCTTTTTTCTTTTTTTTAAACTGTCAAAGAATTTTTATGCTGTTAAGAGCAACTTTTTTGCAAGATGAAATATAAATGCAGCTGACAGAAATGAGAGTTACTTTGAAAATGGAAAAGATTTAATTTATTGGTATGATAGAGTGTTAGCAACTTGCTGAAATTTATCAAAAGTGTAACCTGAGTTAACATACTTGTTACAGTCACCAGGAAATAAAGATCAGGGTAAGAATTGATTCACTAACCCCAAAGCAGAAAACCATGGTCTTCAGGTCACCTCTTTAAACTGAATGGGATTTCTTGGAATGAGAACAACCCCCTTGCTCAAAACAGCCAACGGGATGCTCACATCTCCACATCCCACTCCCCTCAGAACTACCACAAACATAAGAAAACCATATCTTGCCATTGGCAAGTGGGTTTCCTCCCCCCCTC